GGAAAGAATTCGCATTTGTATCGGATTTACAGCATTTAAATGGAGACCTGAGGATAAAATACGAGTCGGCAAACGAGGATATATGTAACGCTTTATCGCAGCACCGTTACATTATGTATGAAACATACGAAAACTTTGTCTAAAGGTAGATAACGGAAGCGACAACTAATTTACGTGAACACCAGCAGCTTTTATTTGTGTTGAACTTCATTTTAAAGACTGTAATATCCTGAGAGGCAGAAAAATTGTGCTGCAATGAAACTTCAATTTCGTATTATATAAACCATGTAGCAATAAAGGCAACACACTGCACCAAAAACCTAATTGCAAAATTCGATAAAGTGGGACGCTTTAAATAATAAGCACAATGGCAAATTGTTTGCAGGATAAATACTCCTCGAGAAGTTGACAAATATTAGACGGCTTCAAGTTGCAAACAGGCAGCAGCGTAGCCGCTTTTATTTCCGGCCAGATAAAAGACCAAATAAAATTCTGCTTAAAAACAACTACTATGAATCTGTGCTATTCAAACAAACTTTATAACGAAACACTCGAGCAGAATTATCTTCTCGTGTTTCCCGGGCCGTGAACGCTTTCTCTGAAAGAAAGCCTTGCAGCTGAAAGAACGAAAAGTTAAAAATTAATTGTCTATTTACAGAAACTACCAATAAAGCCCTTCTTTTGTTACACCAAAGTGGCCCCTTTAATCATTGTTATAATTATGCTCGAATTTCGAGCCCTATAATCTCAATTTGCTTTGCTATAAATGATTAATAGAACAAAGAAATTTTCAACGTAGATGAGAGCTGCAGTGGAGGCTTGGAAACTCGTTGAAGATTCCTTCTAAATAAACAGCAACCAATACTTATTTTCAACATTGTACTGCAGTAGTGTAGCGTTTTGAGTCATTAAGTTTATTTTGGAACCTTAGAGTTGTGCGAAAAGGTCAATTTCAGCGCCTTTTACACAGCCCGAATCATATATTTTTAAAATATTTTATTTCAATCTTTTGACATTAGATTGAAGTGTGAATAACAGGCCGCTTCAAAATAGGGGCAATTCCGTTTAAGGGGTTATAAGGGCTTATTTGGAGAGTACCAAAAAATACTGAATTGTAAATTGAATTTAAACTTTGTTAACAAGAATTAATTTGAAATGGTGTCATGTTTGAATAATAGCCGATTGGAGTATCTAAGCATTCGAAAAGAAAAATTACAATTTTTACTTCAAATAATGAACATTTTATATATCATATCATATTAGAAAATAGTACTATTTGTTCTACACTTTTCGTAGTTCATGTTCGACTGTGAACATTAGAAGCCGAAAATATGCATTTATTTTTGACTAACAGTATGTCTAACTAATTGGCGAAAATAATATTGCAGGAGAAGTTACCGTTGTAATAATGTGTGGTTTTCGGTACCTAATACACTCGCTTTCAAAAGTTATGTTACGCCTAGTCATTTGGATACATACTTTACAATTTTGTGAACCATTGTAAGCCCTGGTGTTAATTCTAAAACTTATAAAAATCGGCTAAATGTATTTAATTTCAACGAATTATTAATTGTAAAAGAAAATTGCAATCCGGATGCAAACATTCTAAAAATAAAAAATCAATTCTTATCGAACAACTGAAACAAAAACAAAACAAACAAATTTAAAACATATTAATATGCAGTAATTGAGGTTCTACTTTAAGGTCGCATTCCATATCCATAACCAGTCCAGTAATTAAATTATTGATTGCTTCCTGAGGGTTATTTCCTCATTGCTTTAAAGCAGCAACAATAAGTTCTTGGGCATTTCTTGGTGGATTATTCCCATTGAAATTGGCTGGTGATACATAATGCCAGACAATTTTTATAAGATTCTACGTCGGCCAATCTAATCTTGTGATGCTTCGGTTCTCCAATACTTCCTGAACAGCTCTAGTGCGATGTGGCCTGGCATTGTCTGCCCGGCCAATTCATCACGTGGGCGTATAATTATAGGAATAATAACATTTGCAAGGTAATGTGCACCTGCCATTGACAGCGATATATGAATAAGTGGGGTCGCTGTTTTGGACAAAATATCCCCCGCCACCAAGTTTTCTGTTCTACCAATGCCTATTTAGGCGTCCTGCATCTCTCCAAACTCTTACTCGGTAATTATCGCTCACCAATCCAAACCGCGATTCATCGGAAAAGCACATTTCTCCACTCTGCCAATCGCCAGTTTTGATGATTTTGTGTCCGTTTTAAACGACCGCTTCCCGTGGCCAAGAGTTATCAAAGGAAGTCCTAAAGGCCTTTTGGACCGCAATTCTGATTGTAAGTCTTCTTCGGATTGTATTGTGCAATTCTCCCGCTAACTGTGCGTCTAAGAAAGTTTAGTCTATGGAAACTGTGGTGTCTAGATAAACCTTCTTGCCACAGAGCAATAATTCTATTCCTATCAAAAGCTGACCATTCGCTCCTACGCATGCTACACGATTCTTGCATCATTTAATACACTGATGTATAAAATTAGCACACCATCTTTAATTAATATGAGAATATTTGCGAACGAAAAATAAAAAACATGAATCACTAGTTTATCAGATTTTTGGTTAAAATAGCGCGTATTGCCACCTCTCGCTCGAATAACGTCCCTCAAACTTCTTGGGATGGCAAAAAAATGGTTTTCCATGAATTTTTGGATTATGGTGTGCCATTTTTAAGAACCACGTTTTCCAGTTCAGCCAAGTTCTCAGGAATAGGGTCTCGTCGTCGAGTACGTCGTTAGAGCTGATCCCAAACATGTTCAATCACGTTAAGGTCAGGACTACGCGCTTGCCACACTAAGGCCCGTATTTATAAACGATACTCAAGCCAATACTCAAGTCCTGCGTGGCCAAGTACGAGATCGTTCTCAACCGAGAGAGACAATTAATAAACAGTACTTCGTGTTTTACCGATGAAGTTTCGGGCGAGTATAGGATTTTAGAGACTTTCAAATTTAATTGGTAATTTTATATTGGGACTGTTCGCGAACTTGGCGACTCTAAGATCGCGTCAATATTCTTAAGTAAATACGTCTTTTAAATCGCTGAAAGACTGACTTAATAACGAAGACCACCAGACATAAGCTACAATATAATACATACTTTATGTAAGAAAGTAGACATGGAATCATAGAAACTTTGCTACTTGTTTCGTAGAATCTATAGAATAGAAAGCTGCTTGTATAGAATCTTAAACAAACCAGCAATTGAGTAATGGGTGATATTTGATGTTAGTAGCCCACGATTGTCTGCTTTCAATAATGGTTCGTTTAAAAAAGGCAATATTACCTCAATAATAATGGCTTTTGAAAACCGAAACCGTTTCTGAAATTCTACATACGAGAAAAACTCAACAGGATTTTGGCCATCTCGTATATATATTTTACTAACACGTTGTCTTCGTTAATTTTCTGCTCTATTACGTCCAAATATTCAAAAACCTTGTCCATTCTTATATTATATACGATAGTGAAACCAAAAAATTAAAATGTAAAAACATAACATAAACCATAGTAATATAACCTTAAAACCCGTTTGACGGTTTATCGAAAAATCTCGACCAATGGCTGGGCAGAAGCAATACTCAAGCCACCGTCGACCGATACTTGAGCAAGCAAAGCTGTAGGTACTGCCTTGAGAATGAGAATGGTTTATGAAACGCAATCGAAACCAAGTCTCGTACTTCAGACTTGACCAGGCTTGAGCATCGTTTATAAATACGGATCTAAACGTTAAATGCCAAGCTCATTAATATATTCGCGCAAGATCAGAGCTTGGTGCTGTCTGGGATTATCAAGTTTATGGTCATCCATAGACAAGAAATTCTCGCCTATGTGGGGTACGGCAAAGTTTTCTAAAATCTCTTGACTGTACTTCTGGGAAGTTAATGATACTTCCTGGGATCACAACAAGGTCCGTACAAGCTTCCAAGAAATGGGCGACCCGAAAACAATATTGAGCCAACACGGAAAATCAGTTGAGGAACCATACACGCTTGCCTGTATTCTTCTCCTGGCCTTCTCCAAATAAAAACTCGCCTATCCGAAGATTCTCAACTCACTGTAACTTCGTTAGTAAACAAGACTTTCTTGTCCCAATCCACGTGGTTTCTAGCACTCAAGCCTATTTTCTTTGTGGGTTCTGGTTAAGAGAGAACCTTTTGCGGGAAGAAGCACTTAATCTGGATTCATTGAGCCTTCCTCTTACCGCTTTGGAAGAAATAGCAACATGTCGGTCATTTTGAATTCGATTTTTTTAATCTCATTTCCGGTAATAAACCGATTTCTTAAAGCTTGTAGTCGTTTAAAACGATCGTCCACTTGGTTTGTAAATCTTGGTCGGCCTTGCCCTGTTCTAGCATGGCAGTATGTTTCCTTAAAGCACTGATGAGATCGACATCGAATGGTGGTGTGGTGAACACGCAATTTTCGGGCGACGCTGGTTATACCCATCTTCCGACAAGGTGACAATTCTGACCGCTTTCTGACCGATTCAAACTCACTTGAATTTCTTCCTGGGGACATTTCAATGTCATCAATATATGCAATTTCATTAATATATACATAGGTGCAGTTTTTACATTTTTACAGCACAACTTTAGAGGAGTAAACAATCTTGTGTTGGAAATTTCATCATTTTTTTACTTGTAAACAGGTGTTGGTTGCAAGTTGGTTTTAATCAGGCGAATCTTTATTTATTCACTAAGTATCTCAATATCAGTATAAAGTAAAAAAAATAGAAAAAATGAGTCTTAATGGTTCACTCCCGACCAACAAAGATTCATTTAGATTAAGCGTGGTCGTTGAGACCTTTCAGTAGTATTAAGTTTTTGCCTATTTATTGGCCACACTTTTTGCCAATTTGTATATCTATATCCAATTTACTAATAGAAATATTTCGGGAGCATTTAGATTGTGTCAATCTAATGCACTCTTGAAGAGCTTTATTTATATGTTTTCTTTCTTTTCAGAGCTTCTGCGCTTATGAACCTCAAACGCCAAACGGATCAAACTCCAGTCACCAAAAGCACAACCTGACAAGTTCGGATAGTTGACGTTTCTCAGTTAGAATTTGTTTATTTCGCGACTTTACTTCTATCATTATGAAACCATATTTGATACTCGCGGAGAATCGGTTCTCAGTGTTTTCCTTTTTGGCATTGGCCACGATTTTAACCATTAGTTCGGTGCCGTTAGTTTTTGCGACTTTTAGACAAAATCCAGTGTATTCAAACGAATTTGCTGTTAATGTTCCTGAAGGCGAGGCCACTGCGGATCTTCTAGCTGCCAAACATGGATTTGTAAATAAAGGACAGGTAGGCTTGTTGTTTCATGCTTGCATTATTGTTAGATTTTATCAACCACTCAATTAGTACAGTAAAACCATTACTAAGTAACTTAATGCAGAAATCCCTATTTGTGTACAACAGGTATGGGCAACCTTTCACATGTTGACGGGCAAACTTTGGCGTGCAAATACGTTCGCGGGCCGCGTTTAAAAGTACTTAATGCATTTTAAAGTAGTGATAATATTTTTTAGCGATAGAGATTAGACATGAAATAATACGACAATGTTATTATAGTACAATTTATTAAAATAACAAAATAAAATTAAAAAAATGGTACATTATAATTAAATCGTTAAATTTCCTATTGTTACAAATTACGAAAGTTAAACACACCGAAATCAATGAGACACTTGAGCTTGAATTTGGGAAACTAATCCATCGATATTTGGATTAATTCCACTGATACAAAAACGTAAAGAATTTTTCAAATTATCGTCAGTCAGTCTTGTACGATGTGTTGATTTATTAACTTTCATAAATGAAAAGAACTGTTCGCATTTTTAAGTACTGCCAAATGCACAAATCGATCTTTTTGCCAATTTACTAACCTGCGGAAAATTGTCTTTTCATAGGTATTTTTTATAGTACGTCTTCAAATTTGGATTTTAGGATGAGTTTTCTTGAATCTCGATCAACCCCATTTGTATGTGTATTGGAGCATTTTGTACATTATATTTTGTAGGAGTAGCAAATAAACTGAAACAGTCTTCCATGTTTTTGAAGTCGCTAAATCTGTTCGAAAATTGTTCCGACAGTAATTTGAGTTCTTCAGCATATTGAGCATAAGCAATATTTTCATACGCAGAGAGCGTGTTGAAATAGTAACTGTTACCAGACAGCATCTGTGACTCCCACAAGCGGAGTTTGACCTGAAACGCTTTCAAATGGCTCTACAAATCATTTACTAACTGTCCTTATTTTTGAAGTTTCAAATTTAAATCATTCAAATAGCCTGTAAGATCGACCAGAAATGCTAAGTCACATATCCCTTTTGGGTCACTTAATTCAGATAGTGGTTTATCTTTTATTTTTATAAAGTCTGCTCTCATTTCTAAGCTCGTAACACAGTTTCAATATTTTTCTTTTACTCAACCATCTGACTTTACAATAATATGTTACGTCGTTATACTCAACTGATATTTCATCCAAAAACGCCTTGAACTGGCGATGGTTAAGCCCTCGGGATCGAATAAAGTTGATGGTTTTTACTACCACATTCAGAACATTCTGGAGTCGAATGGACTTAGAACACAAGTTCTGTTGGTGGATAATGCAATGAAGGACTATCAAACCATTTTTTTTGCACATTTAATTCAGTTGCTTTTTCATTCAAAATTCCGATGAGACCTTTACGTAAGCGGACCATAGAAGGTGCACCATCAGTGCATTAATTTTGACCATGGCAAGCCAAAACTTGTGAATAACTTCTGAACTTCAATAAAAATATCCTCTCCTGTAGTGGTTCCTTTTAGCGGCTGTAAAGCAAACAATTCCTCAGTAACAGTGAACTCCTTATCAACACCTCGAATAAATATAGCCAGTTGAGCTGTGTCAGAAAAATCTTTGCTCTCGTCTAATGCTATGGCAAATGACTCAAAACCAGCCATACGGTCAGTCAATGTTGTTTTGATATCATTAGCCATCATTTCTATACGTCGAACAACAGTTCGTCTTGACAAACTAATTTTTTCAAATTAATTTTTTTTCAGGACACAAAATACTGCAAAGTTGATAAATTCTCCTTCGGCAAATGGTTCAATGCCTTTGCCAATTTTGAACTAACTATAAAACTAGCTTTCACAACATTATCAAGTTGTGTTCTTTGTTTATGAAACACTTGTTGCTGTTTTTCCAAATTTGCGGTAAGCTTCTAGATTTTGTCTGTTCTTAATTGTCCTGTCAGTGAGTGCAACGTAGCATGCTTAGAATGCCTCTTTATATTGAATTCTTTCATTACTGAAATGGATTTATTGCACAGCAAACACATAGGCTTACCATTGTGCAACATAAAAAAGTATTCTTTAGTTCAGTTTTTCTTGAACTGGCGGCCCTCTGTATATACGTTTCGTTTCTTACCACCAGACAGCATTTTTGTTTACTTTTCGTTCAATAAACTTATGATAAAAACTATAGTTAGTAACCACTCAAGATGCACACAAAGTGCACACAAACTCGAGCAGTTCGCTAGGATATCGCTTGTCCAAGTTATTACCTCGGTAGCTCAAATAGAACTGAACTAACTTTCGGGCTATCCAGCCGCTTATATAAGCAAAATGAAGGAATTATCTGGAATAAACTAGTTTAGAACAATTGAGAAGCAATAAATCTTTTGATGTGTCGCCCGTGAGGCGGCAAACCTCAAAGACTTTGATCGAGCAAGCCCAGTGGCGGCGATTATCAAAGAGTGAGGCGGCAAACATCAAAGGATTTGGTGTTTGCCGCTTCACTGTCACTCCCGTGAGTACAAGTACCTAACCTAATATATTTTTTAATTTTGTCTTTTCAAAAATGGCTCGCGGACCGGATCATATCTAACAGCAGGCCGGATCCGGCCCGCGGTCCGGTTGTTTCACATACCTGGTGTACAATATTTATTGATAGCTTTATTCGCGGTGACGATTCAAAACTGGTTCGGAACTGACCGCATGTACGTTGAGGCTTCGGGTGCTCGCGGTAAAATATTTCTGGTTCTGAACCGAAAGTTCTATATTCACGGTGCAGTATGAACTGGTTCAGAACACGTTTGTTACCGGTTCTAGCAGTTCTAGGAATAAAGCAAGGACCAGTGTTTCAGACAAGCGAAAACAAACAAAACATAGGGTTCGCATCGACATCAGGACTATCTCCCGGCATCATTATTTTTTTTGATTGGTTGAAACTGGAAACTTTTGTTTGCTGCCGCTTTTGGTCGTGTGTTGGTACAATGGGTACCAGCATTGCATTCGCCTTCCTCCTTCAAATGTATGGCTTTATTTGTCTATTCAGGCTGAAAGTCAAAATGTGAGAGGCTGCAGATGTCATTTGGAAAAAAGTGCAAACATATGTAAGCATACCAAGTTTATTTTTACAATGGCGCTCTGATAAAAATTAGTTAACTAAATTAAATATAAACATAAACAAACTTAGAACTTTCTTATTCGAGTTAATCTAAGACTGCCACTTTTCGCACGGATTATAAAGAAACACATGAAATCTGTTTTTCGAATTCCTCACAGACGCAACGTCACCGTCTCTTAAAAAACTAAAACTAAACTTTCGCCTAAAACTTGATACCATTTTTTTATTTTGCTATTTTCAGCTTTCGCTCTATTGCTTAAGCTAAAGGTGAATCATTGATAGTGATTTACTTCGATCGATTGAGTTTGAGGATTGGATATGTGACTTTGCCAGGGAAAAGTCAAGAATAAAATATTTTTAATTTAATTGTATTTTAATTAATTTTTAAATCACTATTACGTTTAAGAATTATTACGTTTTTATGTTTATGTCGCATTTAACTAACTAATTTTGATATGGAAGCATGGTTATATGAATAACCTTGAAATTCGATGTGGGCCATGATCATCCTATGACCGAAACTAAAGACAGTGACATCTCTAAAAATGCCTTTTCTGTTGGAGATGAAGAAACTTATTTCGTTATGAGTCCTGCCATCTATGTTTTCCCATGTCCATCTTCTGTGATTTTCCTTAAAAAAGAAGCTGTTCATCTCATATAGGTTGCTCTCAAGCGGATACCTTAATAAAATTTCGACCCTCGCGTTCCTACCTGCCCTTCAATAATTTCCAAGTGCGACCTCTGTGTTGATTAATTTAGTGCCTATTTTCACGTTAAAATCTCTACATGTGATGTTGTAGTGAGTTGGGTTTTCATTCCATGCTTTACGAGATGTATGTGTGTATATCATATATCAATCATGACATATACATGATATGCCATGATTGATATTTCTTCATAAAAAATACACCGTTTCGTCAGAATGGTCGGTGGTAGGAGCATCTTTGCACAATTGCCAATAGGCAGTATTATGTCTCCATTTCCGTTGTTTTGAATCCGTGTGTTGGTTTCCTCATGACATATATCGTGCGTACCGCTGTTTCTTCGTCTTCTTCTTCTTCTTCTCATACTTTTCCGAGATCTTGCGATCTGTTAATTCTGTGCACGCCTCTGCAGTATTTCCTGGGATCTTAACTGCCAGCTATCCGTTCATCTTTTAGGTGGTCTTCCTGCGGCTCTAGTGCTTACTGGGTTTCCCTCCAACACGATACGCGGTAGACGATTTTCGTCTATCCTCTTTACGTGACTGTATCACTGTCTCTTTCTTTGTCTTCCCTATCGCACCACGTCCTGCACTCCACACTGTTCCCGGATATCCGTGTTTCTCACCCTGTCTCTTGTGGTTTTTTCCACGTTCTTGTAGTCTTCATCTCTGCTACTCGCAACATGCACTTTGTTTTATTTGTTTCTTTTCGTGTCTCTAAGCCGTATGTCATAATGGTTCTCACGCATGTTTTGTATATTTTTACTTTGCTCTCTGTTCGCATGTATTGATTTGCCCATGCGATTTCCCTAAGGTATCCTGATACCGCCGCAGCTTTATTGATTTGGATTCTTAGGTCCTTGACTGGGTCATGACTGCTTGACAGGTCTATGCCAATGTATTTAAATTGTAATACTTTTTCTACAATTTTGTTTTCGATAGCAAGTTTACATCCAACAGGTTCCCTGGCTATTGTCATACTCTTTGTTTTGTTAATAGAGATTGTCATGTGGAGCCGTTGGCTGATTTGGTACAAGCTGAAAAGCTGCCTCTGTAGGTCGTCTTCGTTCTCCGCGGTAATTGCGGCGTCGTCGGCATTACGTATCATGCTGATTCTCTTGTTAATTCTGTACCCTAGGTTCAGGGATGTCACTGCTTCTATAATTGTATCTATGAGGACATTGAACAGAGATGGACTAAGACTATC